TTACGAAAAATAACATCGACACGGGGATTGTTTTCTTATGACTGTGGCCTTTTATCAGTCACTTCATATTTCATTAAGTACGGTAGTACTTAATAGTAGAGAACGTGATGAACCAATATGGCGGCTATAAAAATTGCCCTATTAAAAACCATCTTTAAAATGTTTGAATATTAACAGTGACTTTTTCACAGTATTGGCTGAACAAAACTAAAGCTTATTATGCTTATAAAGCAGCTTAAATCGCTGTATGGTGTTTATGGAATGAATCATAATTTCACTATTTTAACGAATGCTCAGCTAAGTAAGTAAGTGAATTTTTTGTTTCAATACTTTTTATAGCACCGAAACTGTTTATATTACTATAGCTACTTAGGTTACGTATATATCGATCCCTACTTCTCTTTATAAACTTTGAACATTTTTATTGTACTTGTATTTAATAAACATAAATAGTAAAGTATATTTCTTTGGGTGATTATGGTAGTCAAGTTAGCCATGTTTTTTTTTGTTATATTTTAAGCTCACCTTGCTTTAAATTCAAACACTTACCTTTCACTTGGCCAGTTTTAATCACCCCTCACTTGAAATCCTTTTTTTTTCTGGACCTCACATAGCTAGGTGGTTAGGGCGCTCGATTCGCAATCTGCGGGTCCGAATCCCCATTCCATCAAACATTTTCAGCTGTAGGGGTGTTTTAATGTGACGGTTAATCCCACTATTCTTTGGTAAAAGAGTAGCTCAAGTGTTGGCGGTGGGTGGTGATGACTAGCTGCCTTCCCTCTAGTCTTTCACTACTAACTTAGGCTAACTTAGGCTAGCGCAAGTGGCCCTGTTGTAGCTTTGAGCGAAATTCAAACCGAATTTTTATATGTCAAATTACTTTACTGTAGAGTTCAGACTTACTACTGTTTGTCTACACAGAAACTACATTTGATAAATAAAAGTAAAACTATGATAGCTGTTTCTTGTGAACTTTAATACAAATATAAGCTTAGACAAACTTTATGACAGAATAACTTCTCTTGATAGAGACAAACAGTGATTCCATCAGATTAAAGTTTTCCAAACAGTATGAACTTAAAGAGATGTTACGACAGCATTTAAAATCTAATAAAATACTGGAATTCGTAACCTACAGTTAATTGGAAATATACGACATAAGTTTAAGGCATACTATATTTTTATTGTGGTTGTGATATGTTAGTTATTAACATTCAAGGATTATATTTCTTTGTGCTGCTTTTGATAGTTTTTACTTGTACTGTGTTATCTTTATTTAGGGGGTAGAATTACTTTAAATTACATCTTATGCGTGGCTTACCTACATTTTGAATTGGTGCTTCATATTTGTGGCTACATGTTCTGTGAACATGTGTGCTTTTTTCATCACAGTTTGAGATTACACGTTTACTTTTGTTATCATAATTGTATGCTAAACTACCCTTTTTTATAATTTCATTCTCAACAAGCTAAAATTTGAAATACAACAGTGTTATTATTTATACTTAACTTTTATTTTAGATATTTTTCGCTTTTTTATAACCCCTACCCAGTGGTACAGCGGTATGTCTGCGGACTTATAAGTCTAGAATCCAGGTTTCGATACCCGTGGTGGGTAGAACCATTGTGTAGCTTTGTGCTTAATCCCAAACAAACACTTTTTTTATAATATTCTTATGATAAATAAGATTTGGGACCAAGACTTTGCTTTATTTGATACGTTTTTAAAAGCTAAAGTTTTCATAGCAATTAATAAAAATCATTTGTGGATTAGTTTGGTATTATAAAGACTGATTATAAAAATGTAATTGTTCACGTCGTTGAAATTCTGATATTTGTTTAAATATTCACTTTTTATTCGAGAATTCACGATATCTATTATTGCTTGCAGAGAGTTCATATTTCTCTTTTTTTATCCCAATTAACCAGCACATTAGTAGCCATCTTCTGGCATCCTTCTTCTGACAATGTTTTGCTTTCTTCTATTATATCGTTCAGTCTGTATTTTCTTAAGCATGATTATTCCAGTATGTGACGTTAAAGATAAAACTGCCTGTCTTAAACTCTTTTTTTGTTAAAGTGAAGTTAATAAGAACCATTAAGTTTACCTGTCAAAGACACAGCTTGTCGAGAGTCGTGAATGGCATACTTTCACACTATGCTCATTCTTTTTATAAAGCAGTTAACTTAATATATGTATACGATTTTATTTCATTTTAGAACATTTTTTCTTTCTTCCAGAATCTAATTGCCCGCACATTACATAAACACTTGAAATTTCTTTGGGATCACATATAATATCATCATTTTAATTTTATTTTTGGATATTTTCTATCTACTATCTGCGTTTCTGCTGGCTGGTGGAAATGGGGAAGTAAGGCGTTTTTTTGTTTCTTTGGGTTCGTCAACTACTTTAAGTCCTTGCTTCTCAAAAGGAAGGTTAAGGTATGTAAGTGCTCTTAAAATCATTACCTCCAAAATTCCAAAAGGCAATACTTCACCCAAAAAAAGGGAAGGTGAGGTATGTATGTGTAAAAGTAACTACCCCTCAAAAATGGTGATTTAGATCCTATGTTTGCCAAAAAATCAGTAGCTTCCTTAGGGACGGTATTTGTCTATGTAATCAACTTGCATATGAAATCTGAGTGCTTGAATCCTATGTCATGATGTTTTGTGCTTGCAATCTCAGCTTTGCCATTGGACATGGGATAACTTTATGCATATGTCGTACTACCTATATATAAGATACATAATTCAGAGAGTCGCTAGTTTCTAAGAAGCACTTTGAAAACGGTAAAATATGCTAGATTCTTTTTAAAAGGTACCCGCTTAAATATCAAAAATATATATAAAATTTTAAAATAGCTATTTTTGAGCTCATAGATTTATTTAATTACAGCGTTTCTTCTCTAACAGTAACGCCCCAGTGGCACAGTGGTATGTCTGTGGACTTACAACGGTAGAAACCGGGTTTCGATACCCGTGGTGGGCAGAGCACAGATAGCCCATTGTGTAGCTTTGTGCTTAATTACAAACAAACTAACAGTAACAGACAGACATGATCACGTACAACATTCATAGTTATACTTGATCGTGTTTCTTTGTTAGAGACGAAACGTTGTACTGAAAAAAGTTGATCGTCCGACAAATATTTGTTTCAAACTTTATAAATGAAATATGTTAATTACTTCGATCTCGTGTCGCGAGAGCTTTACTCTCTGCAAGCTCGCCTGAAAGTGGAAGTGCTTTTGATTATTCAAACTATATGCTGATTAAAGTGAGGTGAGCAAAGAATTATCACGTTCTTCATTATTTTCAAGCTATGTTTTACTCTCAAAATATTACAGCGAAAACATTGAAACTTTGTCAAAGTCCAAACCTTCTCGTGATATATTCGACCATATACCCAAAATCTACTGAGAAGTGAAGAATTAAGATATTGTTCAGCCCGCGGTGAGAATTTTTACCGCTTAAAGAAAGCGATACTTTTGTAATTTAATAATCCACTTGATCCATTCAAAATGGCGAAGAACAATGTTTGAGTGTCAGAAATGGCACTTTTTTAGTCGATGAACTTACACTTAATAAAGTAAGAACTGATGTATGCAGTCTATAATTTTTCCTTTATTAAGATGGATTTCAAGTACATTTTCGAATGCACGGGAAAACTTTCCACATTTATGTTATGATTTAATTAAAAAAAACATGTACGTGTATGACTGTACATGCATTTAAAGAATATACCCTGTGAATAAATAAGCTTCAGTGTAATTTTCGGTATCACCAATCAATACGAAGGCTTGTTTAGTAATTGCCATTTGGCTTGTTAACCCAGATCATAAATGAGATCTGTCCAATTGTTCTCACACGTGCTCTCGTAGGGCAGAAGTGAGTTTTTCTGCTCTGACATGGTAAGCGTAAGCTGTTCAAAAACTTAACTCGTCGTCTATTATCTATCTGTATGCCTTGGTCTATGTGTCTGCCTTGCCTCTCAAAGTGTGGTTCGAAACCACTGGTGGTCCACAGGCTGATTCGAAATGCAATTGACTGAACGCAACGCCATGGCAGAGATTATACGAGAGATTAGAACAGGTGGAGTAGGACCGGTAGCTGGTCTGTGGAGGGTCTTTTTTTGTCCTGCCGAAGTGGTCCGCGTACGAAAAAGTTTGAGAACCACTGAAATAGAACAGTTGATCTTTGTTTCATTCGTAGTCCAGTGAATTAAACATTTGTGCTGTCTATAAACTGGAGTGCGTTGAAATCAAGTCCTGTCTTTGTCGCTGCATCCTTTTTTCAGTCAGATTGAAGCGGAACATTCTTTTATTATCTGCGGAACTAATTTGGCTGTTGGAACATAAATAAACAAGAATATCTAGATGTTGAGGAAAAAGTCACGAAGAACCCGCATTTTCATTTGTAACGCCAACAAAACTAATGCAAGAAATGATAAGTTGCAGGCTTTGTTAAATCTATGGTAAACTTCCGAAACTTGTTCAGTCAAATCAGATATCCGCAGTACATAGTTGGTTATCTTACTTATTTTCCATGTTATCATAAAATTCCATATTTTTTTTTTCTCATACAACATACGATTTATTTCATTCTCACACTTCGGCTAATTTAACACATGTCCGTAATTAACTATTAGAAAAACAAGAACGTTTGTCATTTTATTAGACATATTTTTTAAACTTGGCAGCTTTGGCTCTATCCTTCTGTACGCTGTTTATTGGGAGGCTGAAGAGAAATAGTTATAGTTTTACTGGTGATATAATAAGAAACAGTACTGATTTTTGGGATTACGCAGTGAGGAAAAGTACTGGTTTCACTACTTAAAAAATGTTTCCATTGGAGATGATGAAATATCTAACCTCAATGCAAACTGGATAAGCAATTAGCACACTTTCGGTATTGAATGTAGGATGTACTTCATTTTAAATTGTTTACATCTTTAGATGTATATTTGTCGATGTATCTAAATGAATGGCTTTTCTCAACAGAACCGCCATCAAAGGTTTTGATACTGGATGAAAGAAATACGACGTTATCAGGACTTGTAGGCCCATACAGTGAAGGGCAACCTTTAAAACTTACATGCATCTCTTACGGAGGTGAGTGAAATCAATCATGAATAGTAATAAAAATTCATCTATCGCGTATTTTTTTTCTCTTACGATTGCTGTCTAATTCGCTCAATGATGACCTATTGACTCAAGTATAAATATTTATTACATTTCTAATAAGAGAAAACTAATCTTCTCATGTGGTTAGTTTATCTATTTTTAATGGAGTAATTAATAAAAAATGCCCACATCGAGGGATTTGCCGTTTAAGGTACTAATAAATAATATATATAAGCTGAAGAGTGTGTACAGATTGTGCACTTACACAGGTTAAAAAAAAATCTAGCGATATACAAAAACGTCAATTGACATATAAAAAATTTACAATTTATACCCAAAGTTGTTGAATTTGATTTTTCAAAATTGTTCAACCTGGTTGGTTTTGTGACATAAGCATTGTACTATTCTACCATCATATAAATGTTAAGATTTGATATTAAGCATTCAAAAGAAACATTACACAATAGCTTTACAATTTCGGCATAATTTTCAGGTGTTTCATGCATCATATTATGTGATTCTGCAGTAGTATGCCTTAAAATTCAGTGTTCTGCTGCCTATTAGAGAATTCAGTTGAACGATGCATGCTAATTTTGTCGCTTAATATTACTGTTATAGTAGTAATAACATCCACTGGAACACGAGTGTTACCACATGAAATATAGTACAATATCCATCAGTACAGAAGTGTTGTCACATAAATTCCTTATACGCCCAAGTTTAACAGATTTCTACAATTAGTTAGGTTCTTCGAAAAGTTATTACGATCTGTCTCTTTTAGCGTAAAACTATACAATGGGCTTACTGCGCTCTGTTCACAGATCCTTAAACTTACCGCTGATCCCATCAAGGGACTAGGATCTGGCCAATAATCAGCTGGGCATTAATTATACTTCTAGTGTTTAAGTTGGAATTTTAATTATTTCTTGACAGTCACTGATAGAAAATTTTAATTAGAAAATACCGACGCACTTGATTTATTCGAGGTGTTGTTTTTTGTATTTATCAGACAAGAGAATATTTCTGATGTGACTTTACGTCCATATGATCTCGTATTTACGTGTGTAATCCCTGTTTAGCCAACATGTAAATGTAAGCTAAAATTTTAACATTTAAATACGAACGTAAAAACTTAACGATTATTTAAAAAACCCACAAAAAAACGTGAAATTAATTTCACCAGTTGGCTTCAATTACAAAATTTATTGTATGTGTGGGATCGAATGGAATTACATCGATTCCAGTTTCTTTGATCAGCGTCATCGAAATACTGAATATACCTAATCAAATATTAATGGCCTAGTGGTTAGTATGCTGTTCTGTGAAACCGAGGATCCATGGTTCGCGTCTTGCACTTTCGGGCTGTGGGTGCTTTATAAGAGTGACGGTCTAACCCGTTATTCAATGGGAATAAGCCAAAAGTTGGCGGTGGTTGGTATTTACTGGCTGCCTTTCCTCTAGCTTATCACTTCAAAATTATGGACGGCTAGCGCAAGTAGCCCTCGAATATCTTTGTGTGAAAATCAACAAACAATCATCAAATACCAATCCTCGTCATCCAGTGATTTAGTAAGTCCAATATCAATGCCTCGAATATAATTCATCCAGTGATGAAGCGAGTCCCATACAACGACCTCAAATCCACCGTATACATATTTTACAACATAGCACATCACATATTTTATTAAGTGTAACAATCGCTATTTATCCACAAACACTTTTCGCTCGTAAAACTAGGCTAACATGCGAGAAATGTGAGTTTTTACTTATAGACAAAGACAATTTGCCTTTCGTGTACAAACAAATATCTGTACAACAAAAAAGAAAAGGAATAAATACGCATGTGTTGAAAAAGTTTACTAAACGATTTTCAACATCGTAGCTTCTATTTCAGCTTGCTAAAAATAGCAATACAACAATTTACTCCGTAAAATCCTCATACGCTGAAAATTGTTGGGGCAATGCAAGACCATGTAAGCAATAATTCTTTGTGTTAAAAACACCAAGTCTATAGATATATCATACTTTACTAATAGAGTTATTGCACTTTATAAAAGAAATGTTCCAGGTCCCATGCTGCCCTTATAACTACTTCCTCATTGTCGATCTTACTCAGCCTGATAGCCATAATTATGTACTGTTTCCCGATGCCACAATTTATTAGATCATGCATATTGACAAGCTTTTCACAAACGTTATGATTTCGGCTTTCAAGATCACTGATCATGTTTAAGTAGACTAAAGTTTACTGGAGCTGCATCCGGGAATTTGACAACAGTCGTTGATTTCGAGATATGACTGAAAGCTAGCAAACTTTTATGCCTTCATTATCATCATCAAATCCTTGTTTAATATATTGTTAACTATACCACTACTTATGCTCTGCTTTATCGCAATGTATTTTTGAGCCGAAGGGTTCTCTTTCATAATGGTAGTCTTAACTTTGCGGATGAGAATGTTAATCTGGATTGAAGGCTTCCTCCTTCGAAATATTTTTCCTTTTGGCTCTAATTCGTGTAATAATCTTATAATATGAATATCCTTCCTAAAAAACAAACACACACAAAAAATAAGTAACATAATTCCCTCAACATAAATCTATCCGCGGTGGCATAGCGCGATGGAATGATAGGGAATTCATTGTGAATCAAATATATAGTTGCTAAGCCTTTCTGCTTCTGGGTTTACACGCCACTATCAGTATATACAAATTATCCAACTCCCCCTCCCCCTAAATTTCGTGTTTTCAAAAAATTTATCAAATAATGATCACTTTTTCGATCGTTAACAACAATGACAACGAGAAATATTTTGGTTTATCTTAACTATCATATTTTGCTTAAATTAGCTTTTACGCTATGCATCAACGAAACTGTTTACGAACTGATTAAACACCTTTCATATATTAAGAGGCAAAAGTTCTGCCGATCATTACAAATTTCAAAGACTTTAGACGCTACAACTTTTGGATGACTAAGTTGAAACTTAATATTGAAAGTCGTTACTCTAGAAGATGATTTTTCAGGTAAGCCAAGACCGGCAGTTTCGTGGTGGAAAGGAAATAATCTGTTAGACAATAACTACTCCTTCCTTCCACACAAAATGGTAGAGAACGTGTTATACATTCCTGCACTGTGGAGGTACGATCTGCTAATGAATCTGACTTGCAAGTCGTCCAACAACAATGTGACGGTTCCACTTTCCAGTACCGTAACTCTCGACCTCTATCGTAAGTTTTCGTATATCAACTGACTAAATGTTAACGTTACGTGGTGTGATATTTCTGTCTTTCAATACATTTGTGTCATAGCTTAATACTTTAGTCGTTAAATCTGTAACTTAGTTTTCTGAAAAAAATCTATATTTATTTAGGCATACAATGCATTATAAGTTAATGAAGTTAATATATCTTTCCATTATTCAAGTATATTTTCAGATTTTCAGATTAAACTAAAAGAAATAGATATTTTAGTGCAATATTGACTTGATTTTTTAAAAATTCCTAACTACTTTATGCTACATGAATTCAAGTGAAAATGTCGAATTAGTTGTCGATCGACTGAGCTTATGAAAAATTTATATCATTTATTTACGTAATTTCCTCTAATATGGCCAAATATGTCAATATTGATATCAATTGTTTTCATGCTCTCTTGTCATGGGATTTGTAACAGCAAGTTAGGATTTGGTAGATAATATTTTACTTCCGAGTAGAATCTTCAGACTGGGAGTGGCATAATGGTTAGCATGTCGGACTGTAAATACGAGGGTTTGTGATTCGCATCCCGTTGCTGTAATAATACGTTTAATTTGTTTGTTGGCCTGGGTATGTTGTACAATAAATTGTATTGGTCGAAGAAGACAACGGGAAACCATTCCAACTATTATGTATCATAATAGAAACCACGGTTTCATGAGTTATTGTGTCCGCCAAGCATCGGTTCCAAGGGTGGTTAAAAAAATAACCAATTCTTGCTCCAAATATTATGATGATTTTTTCTAGCACTCGGATTCCGGTCTTTAATTTTCATTTTTATTTACTTTTTCTATTTTTTTTTTATATTTGGAAAACTACTATCACGCAAGAACTTAGCAAAAGTGATCAATTCATTTTTCAGATTTCGAGGATCTGGTTCTGGTGTGAGCTTTCGGTTCTTAATGTCCATATTCTGCAATTCACAGCTCTAAGTATTTGTTCAGGACTATAGATTATCGGATTCTCTAAAGTGAACAGTTACTTTCGAATTGCTTCAAATTTTACATAGTACTCTCTCACTGTTAGGTTCCAAGATAGTGGGGTTGGGTCGAATTTCATTACACCTCCTGGCGGCAGGGGTATTGTTTTCACTTTGTGTGTCTATTTGAAGTTGTGAAACATATAATTTGAAAAGACTGAAGTTGACTGTTCCTAAAGAACAAATTGATTAGGTTTGGGAAATTTAATACAACGGTTAGGATCACACTGAAGGTTAGCCGCTTTCGTCATAATATGAGCAAATTCGATTTGGAAAAATGGTCAAAATTCGAGAACAAATTGAGAGTGAAAAATTATTTGGTGTATATTTTAAGTTGGCTTGTGTTAAAGCATCATAAGGCGAGGGTTGATCTTTAAGTACCTTTCTTGTTGTGATCAGGTTTCTTCGCATTTCTGACAATTTATATATTCATATGTTAATAGTTTTGACATTATGGCATTAAAAAATACTGTAACTTCTGTCATAGCCAATGTTTTTTTCTGTCAATCATTAGAGTCCCTTGTTCTTTTTTGATGTGAATAATTTCTGGCTATGTTTCATGACCAATGTCTCAAACTTTACAAACGTTGCTAGAATTATTATTACAGTATAACAGTTATTATCATAGTTATGAATTATTAATATTCTCTATAATTAAGAGTTTATCTTTAAAATCATAAATAAATAAGTCATTTCTTACTATAAACTCAAAACATTAAGTAAAAGTAAACTGAAATTAACGCTGTCAACGATCTGTCTGTGGATATGAGGTTTTAAAGTTACCTTTAACGACCAAAAATAGAAAATAGCATGCTACATCAATACCATTAAATGCTGTCAGAAGTGATCAACTCGCTATTTGTAATTTTTTATACTATTTTCTAGTCAAACCAGAAATAGTTGAAATAGAACCGTTTAAAATACCAGTTGCTGTGGAAACTGAAGTGGAGTTCCAATGTGTGGCCACAGGTGCTCGTCCAACAGCACTGATAACATGGTGGTTGGGTAATCAGAAACTACAGTCGTCAACAAATACCCAGAACAACAAAAGCCACAGCAGCAGCCTGCTAACTTATACACCGTCTATGGAGGATGACAGGAAGTATTTCATGTGTAATGCCGAAAACCCCAAAATACCAGGAAGTAGTATCAACACTGGGTGGTTTTTAATGGTAAACTGTACGTTTCAAAGAAGGCCTAGCTTAAAACTTAAGTTGTGTATAATATCAAACATACTCGTAACTTTAGTTTTTATATACTTATTTTACACTCTGGAGTTTCTAGTACTAGATCCAGAAAAGGTTCCGACGTGGCCTAGTGGTTAGTGTGCCTGAAATGTGAATTCAGGGTTCATTCTTCATCCCCTTTCCGCAAAAATGCGTTCTGTACTTTGATGTCATGGGTACGCTATAAGAACGACAGTCAAATCCCACTATTCGATCAAACAATCGTAATCCAAGAATTGGCAGTGGGTGCTGTTGGTTAGCTGCATTCCGTATAGTCTATCAGTTCAAAATTATGTACGGTTATGTGCAGAGTAATCCTTTATTAATTCATTAAATAAAATTCATTAATACGTGCTGGAGTTCACGTGGCTGTTATTTCACTAGTTACTTAAACTATCAGGGGGAAGCTACTTTAGTTCGTGTGAAAACAATATGTTAAAAGAGACGTTAACCTCGTACAAATAAAATTTGTGCGTGAAAAATGGAAGCTTTGTTTGTTTGTTATTAAGCACAAAGCTACACGCTCTGCCCACCACGGGTATCGAAACTCGGATTCTAGCGTTGCAAATCCGCAGACATACCGCTGTGCCACTAGGGTGGGCAAAAACGGAAGCAATGTGGCTTTTCTAAACGTAATTAATTTATATTAGCAATAGATCAATTACAAATAAATTGAAAACATTTAATGGATTAATCATCCTCTTAATCAGCTGAAAATGTAATATGTAATCAAATGATATCGAACTACTATGTATTCTGCCAATTATTAAATTAATTAACATGGTACTGATTTATTTATTCATCATTATAGATGGTCGCACAAACTGATAAACCTAAATGATATATCATACAGTTTTAGTGGATAGTATAATTCGTCATGTTCAATGAAATGTATTTGAAAATGCATTTTAACATCACATTTAGGGACAACAAAGGACCTACGCTGTCCCATCCACTAAATTAAACTAAAACTATTAAAAAACTCTCAAATCCATCTCTTATTATTCATATATTTATCAATCTTTCTCTTAAGCTCATTTACATTTACTGCCTCCTCAACATCCGAAGGCAATCCGTTCCAAAAAAAAACTATCCTGTTGAAACATAAAACTGTCTTAGCTGAAAATGACTCCTACCCTTCCAAAAGTTATATTTGTGCCCCTAGTCTTACCATTCTCACCATTAAATATGAAGAACAATGATGCATCAACACTATCAATTCCCTCAACAATCTTAAACATCTCAATCAGATCTCCTCTAACTCTATATTTTTCAAGAGAAAACAATTTCAGAGATTTTAACCTCTAATCGTTTGACAAACTTTCCATTCCAGGTATCATTGTAATAGCCCTCCTCTGAACCCTTTCCTAAGGCAAGGAGCCAAGACTGAACACAATACTCCAAATATGGCCTAACCAGTGACATATACAATGAAATTATAACCTCTTTAGACTTGTATTCAATATTTCTGTATATACAACCTAAACTCCTATTTGCCCTACCACTAGCACAGCACACTGCTTGGATGATTTGAGGGACTGATCAAACACTAAACCAAGATCCTTTTATTACGTAACACTGTTAAGGTTATTCCCATCCAAATTATACTTATAACTCACATGCATTATCTTGCATTTGTTATAATTAAAACTCATCTGCAATTTATTTACCCAACTCACTAAATGATCTAAATCCTTTTATAAATCAGCAGCACCCTCCTCAAAGCCAAAAACACCCAATACCTTAATATCATCGGCAAATTTGAGTAATGTATTGTCCATTCCTTCATCTATGACATTAATGTAAATCGAAAAGATCAATGATCCTAAGACTGAGCCCTAAGATACTCCACTTGTGACATTAATGCAGTTTGCCTGAACTCAATTTATAATAATCCTCTGATAACTTCCATCCAGACACTATTCTATCCAATTAGCTAACTCATCCTCTACATCGATAGATATAATTTTAACAAACCTTTTATGTGTCACTTTGTTAAATACTTTCTGAAAATCAAGATAAACGAAATCTACACCCTCACCCTGATCTACATAAGCAGTAACCTTTTCAAACAATGTTAAAAGATTTGTAAGGCAAGATTTTCCCTTAGTCAAACCGTGTTGCTATCCAATAAAATTCTAAACTGTGTTAAAGAGCTTTGCAAAGCATCTTTCATCAGACTTTCCAAACCTTTTCCCACAACTGAAAAGGAATAAAATTAGCCAACTTCCAATCCTTTAGCAGCTGTCCACTATACAAAGACGTACAAAAATAGTAGCAAGGGGCTCACATATCCAATCCTTAACCTCTTTCAAAATCCTTGGGGAAATATTATCTGGCCCAGAATCCTTATCGTTCTTTAAACTTCCCCAATTCTTTTAACAAGCTCAGAATTAATGTGGTAATTTTGTTCGATCTTCTTTCCATCTATCAACTGTCCAAGATGTGGAATATTGCTTAAATATTCATTAGTAAAAACTGAAGAAAAAAGCAGAATTCAATAACCCAGACATCTCATTACCATCAGATGTGAGCCTTTCTTTATCATCCCTCAATGGTCCTACTCTTATCCTAACATTTTGTTTACCCTTAATTTATTTTAAAAAATCCTTAGTATTAATTTTCACATTTTCAACCAACCTTTTTTCATATATCCTTTTTTATGCTCTAATTTCCTGTTTGACCAACTTTCTTGATCTTCTATAATCTTCTAAATCTCCCATCATACCATTCAATTTAAATTTCTTAAATTCGTGATGATTTTCTTTAATTTTATCCCTTATACCATTTGTGAGTCAATCTGTTTTTTACTTGCAGTCACCCCTTTTCTTTCTATAAGAAATATGTTTAGCTTGAATATTTAAAAAATTTTCTTTTGAAATTTTTTCACATTTGGTCAGTGTATCCAAATAACTCAGCTACCAAATTCACAACACCTAAATCTTGTCACACCCCTTCAAAATTTACTTTCTTGAAATTTGTAACCAAAATAATGTTATTACTGATTTCCATATACAGCAAAACATCGAACCTAACAGAGCAATGATCACTTGTATCCAGATGTTCTCCAATTACTATCCCCTCAACCATTTCTATATTAGAAGTTAATAATAAATCTAAAATGCGTTGTTTCTTGATGAAGAAATCCATCTTTTCCAAAAACCATTCTCCCTCATGGTTGGACTCTAACATTTCCCAATCGGCATGCCTGAAAATAAAATCACACCATAATTATGACTTCATTAACAACTGAAATCTTAATCTCACTATAAAATTTCACATTAATTTCATTGGTATCATCTCGTGGTTTGTAACAAATTCCCACTAAAAGTATTTTCCCTTTATATCCATTAATATAAATCCAAATTGATTCAATCTCCTTACTATTATCTTCGATATTCTCAACTTCAACAGGATGTAACTCACATTTTACGTAAAAAGCCACTCCTTCTCTCTATGTAATAACCTATCCCTATTAAATAACCTATAAACTTGTATTTCATAATCTAATTCTGTTCTCCCTATTTACCAACAGACTATCCTATCCACACGCCTTGTCAAAGATTCGTCTATAAATATAACTCCTTATGTTTATCATTCATATCTTTCTCTGTCCCTTTTGTTTTTCTTCCCTCGAATAGTTCCTTATCTGCACAAGCTAAACTGAAACCTGTTGCTCAATAAAACACGCTCATTACAATTAAATCCACTACTTTTAGACCTACTGTTTCTAACTTCCTGAAAGTCATTGTTAGCTGATGTATCCCTTGCATGTAAAAGCTTAAGTTCCTCTTGAAATCCTGCTGCCATTTCCCACAGTATCCTGCTGCCATTTCTCACAGTTTGCTTGGGCGTTGATTTATAGAACTTTGTGTACCTCAGCTTTTTTATTTTGACGCTTATATATATATATATATATATATATATATATATACTTGAATTACCAGTCTTTATTTACTTCCACTCGCATGAACTTGCCTTGAAATAAAATGAAGTTGCACAGAATTATAATATCTATTCTATCTAGAAATACTTTTGATGTGTTTTTAATTTATTATTTGTTGTTTGATAAATTCTTTTACTTTTTAGTGATTGTAAACTGTTGATTACACACTCTAGTATACTGTGTTTAAAAAAGTGAAATAAACTGTATTACCAACCCAACTTTTAAAAAGGTAATGCAATATCTAGATGTTGGGGTGAAAATAACCCAGCTTTTGAAATGACGGTATAGTATCCCAATGTTGAAGTGAAAACAAGTCACCGTTGTTAGAAACCAGAGCAGTTCTTAAGCATGTTAAGCATTGACGTAGTTAAGTTTGTATCATTTTTGTTTTATGTAAGCTGATTACTGCTAACGGCGGAATTAGTGCTTCATAATGTGTTTCGTTTGAACTTCGTGCAAAGCTACAAGAGGGCTATCTGCACTAGCCGTCCCTAATTTAGCAGTGATAGACTAGAGCGAAGGCAGCTGCTAATTAATGCCACCCACTGTCAACTCTTGCGCTACTCTTTTACTAACGAATAGTGGGATTAACCATCATATTGTAACGCCCCCACGTCAGAAAGGGTGAACATGTTCGATGACGGGGTTCAAACCCGCGACCCGCAGATGGCGAGTCCAACCCCTTAACGACCAGGCCATGTCAGGCCCGTAATTTGTTTAAACGGAAAATATACCTGCAGAGAGCTCGGAATTGGTCCATGATTATTTTTACATAACTTACATAGAATACAAATGATTTTGTATTTTATTTTACTCACAACTGAATACTACATAGAGTTTTTAATTGATAAAATAAGTCATATTATGTTTTGTAATTCAGAATTAAGTATCTTTATTACCCCACCTTTATATCTTATGGGCAACTAGGAAAGCTTATGAAAGGATCAAATATATCAATTAATAACATAATTTTGCAATCTTCAGTTCTATACAAGTTTAGTATCCTA